TGTACAAGTAAAGGTAAGACCATAAACTTTTATTATTTCTAGTTAGAAATAAGCTCAACTGGAATAAATTTTAACCTCAAATTAAATATGGGTCACGTTTGTGTGAAGAATGCTGATATGAGATATAAAACATAACGCATTGTCTGTTAACAGACAATTTGTATTTGTAAATCTGACTGTAAAAGAGTTAGTGCCTCACCAGCTGTCAACCTCACCGCACGTCACTGCACTCAAGGTGACTCAGATCAGATCTGCATCCAGTAACAATAGCCCCGTTGTCTTGAGGCTAACCTGCTGGCCCTGGTCTGGCAACATGACTGAGAGTTATGTGAATTAATGACTTAAGTTGCCTGATACCTGCCCTCATTTTTGTTTTAAGTGTGGTACTTTGAAAAAAAAATAAGACAAAAAAAGTACAAAATCGTAATGGTGGCTGTTAAACTTGTGATGCCTGGTACATTCACAGTTGTTGCAGTTTTATCACTGCACCTTAGTGGTTCACTCACTGAGATAAGCTCTGACTGTTGAAACCTTACATAACCACACTTATACTTTGTTTTTGCTTTCTTTCTGTTATCATTTCTTCTTTTTTTATGTTTTAACCTGTGGTTTTGGGCTTCACTGTTGTCTTTGTGTTTTATATTTGCTCTTTTCACTTGTATTTTCGTGATGAATATTACACTTTTTTCTCTCACCCGTCCACCTCTTGGCTGTGCTGTATCTGCCCACTGCCTCCCTTCCCATTTGAAACTGAAAATTCTTTGCACTTTAGTGTTAACACCCACTGAGTTATTCTCCTCCACAATCTCTCAGTTTGACACTTGTGTAAATAGAACTGCTGGAGGGGGCACGCTCACTTTCAGCAACCTATTGCTCATGCATACTAGAGAGTATTGCATTATGACATAACTGTATTGTGGCAGGTGTCTAATACTTACAGTGAGTTTAACTTTTTTCTCTCTGTCCTTATGCTCAGCTGGTCGTTGTCAGGCTCTGAGCAGTTTGCCCTGCGTTATGCTGACGGCCCTCAGCTTTATATCACGGAGCAGGTGAGCCCACTGTCCTCTACCTGACCTAGTGTTGATGACTTTGGTAATCACTGTTGTACTTGTAACAAAATGCCTTCTTTGTTACCTTGTAGAGCCGTGGTGAGATTAAAAACGGGACCATCCTTCGATTAGCCATTTCACCTGTGAGTCATCTTAGTTCATATTCCTTTTCATTTGTGTTTTTTATTGCGGACATTGTGCACACATGAATATCACCGGACCTTACTTTAGCCTAGGTCCATGTCAGATGTTTGTGCCTTTCCAACTGAATTCAGCTAGGACCTTGCACGGTTCCTTTAGCACAGTTTGATCTGTACTCCTCAGTACATCACGGAGAGAGAGCATTGCTTATGAAAGGATGAGACGAGCTGAGGTGATTTGTCATGGCTGGTAGCAACAGCCTCTAACTCATTTAATAATAATGTATGATAATTTATTTTAATCCCACCATGCTTTCAAGTGCATTGTGGGTGCACCTCATGCCTCCCGACACCAAAATACTAAAGGTTATACCAAAGCATTGCCATCGCTGTTGTTACCAGTAACACTGTACTCATCAAGTACATTACTGAGAATTAGGAATGTGGTAAAAAGAAGTCAGGCGGGGCACCAAACATATCATACCCCGACTTCCTGGTTCAGCTTTGGCCTGTCATGGTGGTGAAGTAGTGGTTTTATGCTCTGTGCAAAAATGGAACCCACTAGTTCTTATTTTGAAGCTCTCTAGCTTTTTGTATTTGTCTAAACAAAACATATTTCAGACAAAAAGCAGGTCCAGTTATACCATATGTTCAAAAACCATGTTGAGTTGAAAGTGTAATGACTCTTCAGACTCAGAGTCATTACATGAATTGTATCATACAGTATGTGCTTCTCTTCATAGACTAGTCAAAAAAAATTGTGAAAGGCAAAAAGAGCTCTGGCACACCTTGTTGAGTGATAATACAGCATACAGAACAGGCTGTAATTTTTCAATAGCTCATATGATGGACAGTTAGCACGTAGACATTATAGTTATTTATCAGTGAAAGCATAGGGAGACAATACATCAGTGTACAAATGCACCAACAAGCCTTTAACATGTACCCTTGACCTGAGGCATAGCCTTAAAATCAGCGTTCACTGACTGTGAGTTAAACTTATAATGGAAGTGATGTGCTTTGGGGCTGACAGGCCCGTGCTGCTCGTCAGCTCCTGGAGAGGATCCAGTCTCACGGTATCGATGCTCGTCTTGAAGCTCTCAAAGAGCTTGCCAAGCTGTCTGCAGACCCAACCTTTGCCACAGAGTTCATCAATATGGAAGGCATTGGGACCCTGGCTCGTCTTGCAGAGAGTGGAACCCAGTGAGTGCCTTTTTTGCTTCATGACAGCTGTAATACTTTGCATATTGCAGTGTATTTTCAGTGTAGAAGTTGCATGCTCTAAGACTGACCAAACTTTTGTTTACATTGGAAGTAGTGAAGTTTATGTTGAGCCCAGTGTAAAATCTGCCATGATTTTACTTGTTTATACATGTATTATTTTAGGCCGATACTGACCGCTCATTATTTCCTTAAGCTTTGGTGAAATGCTGGCCTTCACTCTCACTGCCTTCCTGGAGCTAATGGATCATGGTATTGTGTCGTGGGACCTTATCTCGCTCTCCTTCATCAAACAGGTACCTCATCCAACAAAAGAACAATTCATCTGACACATTAGAATTTCATAGAAACCCCATTGGACAAATTTCTACAGTTTGAAATTTCAAGGTTTTAATCCTTTTCTTTCACACACTTTTATTTAATTGCTTGACCTTCCTTTCTTCCTACTTGCCAGAAGTGAGTGGGTGTTGTTGCCTAGCAACTCCTCGCATTATCTGGAGCTTCTTCGGTGTGTATGTGGCTGGTTTTCATCTGAAAACTTAACTGTGGCCTTGACAGTCACTCAGGGGAAACTTGCTGACCTCTTCATTTAGTTTTCTTTTACAGATAAATGTACTTTTTCTTTAGGAAAAGAGACTGTACTTGTTTTCCATCTTTTAACTTTTTAACCTTTATGGGTTACAGGCTTATATTCGGTGGACAGAAACATTTTCAAGCCAGTTGAATGAACTCAAAAGTGCAGTAATGACATGTTAAAGATTCAGAGTTCTTTCTATGTTCGCTCAGATTGCGGCCTACGTCAACCAGCCGATGGTGGATGTGTCCATCCTGCAGCGTTCACTAGCCATTCTCGAGAGCATGGTGCTTAACAGCCACAGCCTCTACCATCGAGTGGCCCAGGAAATCACCGTGGGACAGCTCATCGGGCACCTGCAAGTGTGAGCACGCACACATGCACAGGGGCTTTCCGCGCTCTGATATGATGAGATGACTGGTGTTATTTTTTACTTTTCCTGTTGTCAACTGATCTTGTAAAAAGACCAAACCCAACAATGTGTTAGTACATCTCTCAGTACTTTTGTACTTCTCCTATCTGTCTGTGACCCTCAGCCCTAAGTCTACTGATTCCTATTGAAAATGCAAATCTCAAACAACTGGCACATTTACATTTAGGGTATGTAATTTCAACATCTGGGCACTGTAGGTTTTAGCAGATGTTGCTCTTGCACTTGTTGGGGACTACCTCCAACACCGGATTAATACACATTAGCTTCTCTAGTATGTCTTTACAGCAGCGGGACTGTGTTTAAAAACAAAACAGAATGGCCATCTTAATCATGATGGTGCATGTCACCCAGTGCCACAGGGTGGATCGCTGATATGTATTCAGCAGTTTATGGACAACTCTGGGGCTCTAGAGCACAGAAAAATAAGTCATGTTATGTTTTAGCTACTCAGGCGGTACTTGTTAGTAGGATCAAGTCATTGATGGTTTTGGTCTTTTTATGGGAATGAAGACGTTGCCAGTGTCCTTTTTAATATTTCCCAGATGCTCTTAGTTAAAGCAGAATTATGAATAACAGTTATTCAAAACTGATAGTGTGTAAAAGTGGCTTTTAAAAATTTGGTACCCACCTCAGGTGTTAGCGATAGTGATGAAAGTAAAATTTATGGTAATTTAGCCTAGTTGTTAGCCCGTAGTTTGTGCTCTGTATGGAGATTTATGGAGCAAGCTGCTTCTAACTGGTTGTTACGACGCTGGATAATTCTTCAGGTCAAACCAGGAGATCCAGACATACGCCATCGCCCTCATCAATGCTCTTTTCCTGAAGGCACCAGAAGACCGACGGCAGGTCTGTGAACAGTACACACTGTGTGGCGTATTAGAGAAAATGGACTGCATACATATTATAGATATAGACATAAATGGACTACAGATAATGTTCCACCCTCATATTATGCTTTAAAAAAACACCTATGCATAATAGACATTTAGTCATACTAGTCATATGTTTGTAGATATCAGGGGTCACCTCACCCTGGCTGCTAATGTTTGCAGCAGTAAGTTAGTTAAGACTAATCTCATGAATAGACGTCTGTCCGCCAGCTGTCATGGTGTGAATTCTGTCTGACAGTCATTGCTGTAATGACACACTAACTCAAAATAGCACTCACCTTCTTTTGAAGTTTGCACATTTGTTATACTGCAGTTATTTCAGAATAGCTGCTGTTAAGTGAAGGATGATTGTTTGTGTCAGAGAGACAAAGCATCCAAGCAGAGTGTGGTAATTAGGGATTTATTTTTAGAATAAACTTAATGAAAATAATTATTTTCTGTTAAAGTGAAAGACAGATAATGAGAGAAATCCACACAAATACACTAAAATATGACATTAAATTCAGTTTGATTTAACAGGATCTGACAGGGACAATCCAAACAGATGTACTCTGAATCTGAAATATCTTTGAAGCACAGACAAATGTGCACCAACTAAAGGAGGAGTGCTGCTTTGGATATCTCTCCAGTATGTTACTGATCACTGTGTCACTGTCCTGTGCTCTGCTCACTCTACAATGATCATGTTTTCCTAGATCACATAGTGGACGAGCATACTGCAGTGTTTAATTCTGTTTTATACACTGTCTTGTCCTTATGTGTGTGTGTGAGATATGATTCTCCTCGTTGTACCTAACTGTGATTTGTCAGTTAATACTCATCTAAAATAGTATAATGTCTTATTTTCACAACTGAACAACACTTTCGACACTGATTTAGTATTAAAGCCACTGTGCTGGACAAAATAGCTTCAGAATTTAATTGGAGAAAAATAGGAAGGATAAAACATTATATAGTAGAACCTCAAGAATTTCAGGTATTTATAACTAAAAAAATTTTTAGATCTTGATCTTACATTATAGATTTTTTTTTTTGCCTAATTGTAGCACTTCAAATCCAGTAATAAAGTAAATAGCCATTTTTGTATTGTGTCATTGTTAGTTAGGCCTATAAGTGCATATACACTTTGGTGAGATGTTTTATCAGTATCTGCTGTCCATGTTGGATGGATGGTGGTGTGTCTTCACCCGCCGTTACTGACCACTGGGGGGCAGACTTGAGTCAGTTCTAGTGAGATATTACAACAGAGACACATACAGGACATAGACTGTATCTGGTTGCCACTTCTGAATTAATTACTAACAGTTTTAAATATGAGTTTACAGCTCATTAAGTACATTACAGTGGAGTTACTTTATAATATTTGTAGTTAGGGATATTTTTCTTCACACTTACGCAGGTTTTGATGTTTTGCTTAAAGTAACTTGTTGAAAACTCCTGCAGCAATACACCATATCATCATAACTGGGTTGTCACTCCGGTTCTGGTGTCTTTACTCATTATTGGACCTTTTTTTTTTTAACAGTGAAGAAGATGATAAACATCTTTGCTAAGGGAGCTAGCAGGACGGCACAGTGATTGTCCTGCATAAATGTTACTCTGTGGGTTGATACAGTGTTATAGCTCTTAGGTTTCGTGAAATCCTTTCAAAACCAACTGGTTAAACCAATAAATGTTTGGTCGTCAAATATGTAAGGCATGAGGTTCTTTTATACAGCTATATGTCGTGACTGCTTGATGTTCTGTTTTGACATGATGCTGTTTCATGTTCTTATTCCATTGCATGCTGGGCTGATGATGTACCCCTGCATCTCATGGTCCATGTGTGTCGTACTCTTTGTTTCCATTACTGTTACACCCACGTCCCTCCTCCTTCCCTTCAACCCGTAGGAGGACTATACTAACCCGCTGGAGCAGCAGCTCACTGTGAGTACACATCCCTCAGCATCTCATACCATCCTCTTCATCCCACAGCCCTTCTCTCTCTGTGTCATGAAAAGCTGCTGCACAATCCATGCAAAATAAGATTGAATAATAGCTTGCTGCAGCAGCAGACAGACCCTGGTGACAGATTGTCATGTTTTACAGACTGTGTGATAGGTAAATGTGATAGAAATGTAGCTTCAGAGTGTTTAATTAATTGTTTAAAATTCCCGGTTTCTGTAAATGTCAATGTTTATGTGCCACTTTACTGTGCAGTAAAGCAGCTTCCATCATCTGAGCTGTATGTTGGACTGTTATTTCTCTTGCATTCAGGAAATGGCAAGCACTCTGGCCCAGAAACACCTGCGATCCATCATCCTCAATGTGAGTATCAAGTCTGAAACTAGCTGGCCGTTAGGCTTTCATATGGTTATGAAATATCCAGGTGTGAACACAAGATTTTAGCAGTTTCCAGAGATTGTGTTTCAAAGTAGTTACTATCCTCTTTGAGACTATCCTGTATTTGTGGGCTGTAGGTTTCATGCCTTAGACAAACAGTTCAGAAAGTGGAAACAAGCTCACTTGGGGAGCTGTTACACAGAACCAGCAAATGTGATATGGCATGGAGTCCATGAACTGGAACAAAGTCTGCTCTGAAAATGATTCCTTTTGGCACCGACTGCTCTGGAAGTGCTTGAATGAACTGGCTGCAAATATCAGTGAGGAGTCGCTGCACTCCTGCTTCCTGGAGCAAAGAGACACCCTGGACCTGCTCCAGCACTGCATGCTCTGATGGAATTGAAAATTGCAAGTCTGTGAACTGTTTGGCAAGACTTAGTTACCTGATGGATGTTCACAGTGTCTGCTTGGTCACCTGTTATAAGGCCAGGTTATTTACATGAATGAATTTTTTTGCATTTGATCATTGCTGCAAACATTAAGCATAAAAACGCAATCAGTCTATAAAAAAGGCATACCTGTCTTGAATTTTCATGCAGTTTTCCAGCACATACGTCTCAGCTTGTCTTCAAATGACAATTTTTTAATTTTATGTTTGTTTTGTGTGTGATTCATTGTGTTGTTGTTTGTGCACAAATCGCAGCCTATGTAGAGGCTCTGCTCCTAAGTCAAACTTCTTCTTTTCCAGCATGTTATAAGAGGAAATCGACCAATCAAAGCAGAAATGGCACATCAGTTGTATGTGCTGCAGGTACTGACCTTTAACCTTTTGGAAGAACGAATGATGACCAAAATGGATCCTAATGATCAGGTAAAGATTTAAATAATGACTTGGTTTTATTTTCATAATGCTACTTAATCCTGTTAATCCTGGTTCCTGCAAACAGGCTTGACTGTAAAAGGTTTTAAAATATAAACAATCATCAGTGGTATGTTCAAATGAACAACATGGTTGATTGAACAGTGATAGTGTGGATCCTGAAAAAAAAAGTAACAATCAGAGACAATCTTTCAGTTTAGTTTACACAATATGTGAAAATGTATATTGTCCTGCTTGTTTTGTCTGTGCTCATTTACAGTGTAGATGTGGTCGTTGAGCCTGTATGCTCAAGCTGCACATGCTGTGCATCTAACACAATTTTTTAAAAGTACCACATACAGGAGCTCAACACACGCATGTTGTCTTTGTGGCTCAGGCCCAGAGAGACATCATTTTTGAGCTGCGCAGGATTGCCTTCGATGGGGACAATGACCCCACTGGTACGGAGAAGAGAAAGGCCATGTACACCAAGGACTACAAGATGTTAGGTTTCACTGTGAGTCTCCAGTCCAAAAATCAGTGTCTTCTGGATGTAAAAGTTGTAATTCACAGCAGTTAAATTGTCTTCAAGTCACTTGATTGTTTGCTTGTTCACATTGTTTATGTTTCAAATGCAGAACCATGTCAACCCAGCCATGGATTTCACCCAGACTCCTCCAGGGATGCTGGCTCTGGACAACATGCTATACCTTGCCAAGGTTCACCAGGACACATACATCCGGGTTAGTTTTGGCCTCAGACATGACTTTGTTCAGTTCACTCACAGTAAAAAGTCAGCTACACGCTCCTAATTTATCGTGCTAACTTGTCTGCTCACTCATAACAGATCGTCCTGGAGAACAGCAGCCGAGAGGACAAGCACGAGTGTCCCTTTGGTCGATGTGCCATTGAGCTTACTCGAATGTTGTGCGAGATACTTCAGGTTGGAGAATTGCGTAAGTAGATCTGCATTTTACAAGAAGTGTAGCTGTTGTACTTTAATCAATCTTTTATCTTGAAATGTCTCTAAAATGGGATAAAGCCAATAACTGTGGTGTGGTACTTGGTGTGTGAGAGGATGCTTTGCTCACACCAGTTCATCCAATCTATTTTACAGTTAAAATGTTTTCTTTTGTTAGCTAATGAGGGCTGCAATGACTACCATCCCATGTTCTTTACCCATGACCGTGCATGGGAGGAGTTCTTCTGTGTGTGCATTCAGCTGCTTAATAAAACCTGGAAAGAGATGAGAGCCACAGCTGAGGACTTCAACAAGGTCTGGTATTAAAGCACCCTCACAGTCATCTTTAATACACTCACATCCAAAAGCCCATTTTCAGACATGAACACTGGAACTGTGAAATTATCTATACATTACCCGGAGGAGCTGTATATGAGAATGCAAATGTCTGAGTCAGCTGACCCAGACATTCAGCGGACTTTACCCCGCCGTCTCCCTAGTACAAAGTCTGTGTAATGTCCGAGTGAGCCCATGTGAGAAAACAGCTGCATATATTCAGGAGTATTCACACCGAGCTAGTAGGTGTGTTGGTGACGTTCTATCATGTGACTGGCATGAACCCAGAAGAACATAAACATCCAATATGGGAATAAAACAGCGATTTACAATGAAGACAGCTACAACAATATTTAACCAGAGATGCAATATGATTTGTTGTTAAAAGCCAGTGCCAGAATTGTCAGACAAATTTCAGGTACAGCATGAGACTCAGTTGATTACATTCCCTGGTAATTAGCAAAATTTACCATGCTAACATGTTGATCTGCACATTAAACCTTCCGAACACCAACTTGTTACTGTCACAGTGAGCGTGTTAGCATGCTGACGCTAGCATTGAGCTCATAATCCTGCTGAGGCTAAAACAGCCTCGCAGTGCTGTTAGCATGGTGGCTGCCGCTAGCACGACTTTTAGTCTTGTTAAAATTAAACAGTACACCCAGTAAAACAGGGTGTATTTCAATAGTTCCAGTAAAAGTCAGTCTGAATGGCATCGTACCGCTAGCCAAGTAACTTTGAGTGAAAAGCAAACACTTAAAAGATGTCATAGGACATGAACCATTTGACTTGTCATTTAGCTGGAAAAGACAGCTACAGCAGGTTGTTTCCAGTGGTTGACCCTCACAATCAAATGCCCACCATCAGCCCAGATGAGGTTTGCTCGGTATAAATGTGAGCCATGTCAGCCTTCACACTTACACGCATTTATAACTACTGTAGCTGTTCCTGCTTCTTTTGGGGTTATTAAAAAATGCATGACAATTATATTCATGTTTATCTCAATTGAAAACAATTTGTCCAGATGAAAACACTTAAATGAATCACTTCTTATCTAGGCAGTCAGTGAAATGAAGAAGAAAATAGACTGAGACCATTTAGAGTATATTTTAAATCTTGATGCCGTTGGATTGTAAAAGATGTCTGCCAGCAGAGTGAGTTTCTAAATGGGAAAATAATGGTTCTGCGAATATTCATGGCTCACCAAAAATCAATGCAGTTAGATATGAAAGCTTTACAAGTGTCAGGAATATCTCACCCAGCTGATGAGAACACCATACTGCACATCATCATCCATCACTTTTCAATATTTATGAAGTCTGATGAATTTTGTATTCTACTTTTCCTCACTCATCCTGTACATGTGTGCGTGTGTTAACCCTGCACAGGTAATGCAGGTGGTCCGTGAGCAGATCACCAGGGCTCTGGCGATGAAGCCGTCATCTTTAGACCAGCTGAAGAATAAACTGCGAGGCCTCAATTATTCAGAAATCCTGCGTCTGCGGCAGTCAGAGAGAATGAGCCAGGATGACTTCCAGTCTCCCCCGATCATGTACGTCTGTGTGTTTGCTTGAACTGTTATAGTTTTAAGTAGGGATGTCCCAATCCAGTTTTTCTGGCTCCGATGCGGATCCAGTTCCTGAAGCATCTGCCAATGCTGACTCAGATCCCATACTTAAGCTGTATTTACCTAAAATAGCCTAACAATTAATTAAATATCAGACATATTGAAATAAATTTCAATATATTCAGGAGCGTCCTGGTTCCAAAATATTAAGTTTATTAGCTTAAATTATTGAATGAATAAAAGAATAACTGGGAGATGGACAACGCACTCTCTGAACTACAGATTCGTTACAGGACAGATATTAACTACTACTTTGTATCCCTATGTTTCTTGTATTTTTTATACTTTTTACCCTTGTATTTTAGTCTTACACTTTTGTACTTTTATTTACTTTGGGTGCTGTGATTTTGGTAATCATTGCTGTTGCTACTGGATACCTGAATTCCCCTTGAATTTCCAGCTGTGTGACACTCGCGTCTCAAAAACACACCTGAGTTTGCTCAAATACAGGAATTAAGGATCGGCTTTATTCTGGCTGATACCAGTCCTGGGAATAATGCCTGGATCAGTATCAATACTGATACTTGGCATCGGACTGGGGCATCTGTAGTTTTGTCATTCTTGTTTCTGTCATTTTCAGACTTTCATACAGTCTTCAGCGATGCACTTTTTGACAGAATGACCTCGCTTAGCATTATCATTTCAGCCTTTTACCCTTCTCTTAGTGACAGGCTGTGTCACTGCTCAAATCTCAAATCCCCATCCAGCTCTGCCCCTACAACAGTAAACAGTAGAGTTTGTGTGCACTTGAGTTTGTGCCTGTCGCTCATGCTGCGTTTGTGTGGCAGTGAGCTGCGGGAGAGAATTCAGCCTGAAATTTTGGAGCTCATCAAGCAACAGCGACTCAACCGGCTGTGTGAGGGAAGCTGCTTCCGCAAACTGGGGAACCGCAGAAGGCAAGGTACATACATTATCAGTACAATCAGGTTGCCTTTTCCTGCTGGAGGAGCAGTGCTGCTCTTGATTTTGCTCCCTGGCTCTTTTATAGAGAAGTTTTGGTTCTGCAGACTCTCACTGAATCACAAAGTGCTGCACTATGGGGACCTTGATGAGTCACCTCAGGGTGAAGTGCCCTTTGAGCTTCTCAGTGACAAGAGTAAGACACGTTGAAACCTTTAATTTGCCAAGTTGTTCCATGTCCCAACTAATAAACTTTTCATAACACAATAACACCTTCACTAGCAGACCATAGGGTGTCAGTGACCTCACTAAACTTTCTTGTTTATGTGTATGCTTCTGTTTTATACCCTGTAGTCCCTGTCTCAGATATTAAGTCTGTGGTGACAGGGAAGGACTGCCCTCATATGAAAGAGAAAAGTGCTCTGAAACAAAACAAGGTAGTATCATTTTATTGTCACATACTGTATATGAGCTGTTCTCTCATGCCTTCGTTTCACTCGGTGTGTTCTTTGACCTATTTTATTCTCCCAGGAAGTGCTGGAGTTAGCTTTCTCAGTCCTCTATGATCCCGATGAGACACTCAATTTTGTTGCACCCAACAAGTATGAGGTAAGCTGCTCATAACTGTGTTCTGTTCTGTTGTACCATGGTCACAGCAAATGTCTGATGTGATTGTTTGGCAGGAAGTATTAAACTCTTTGTAAGGACAGCAAGTGAGGCTTAAAGCTGTACTAATCAATATTTTTATATTAACAGTGGGTCAGGTTACCATGAGTAATGTGGAAAGTGTCATCTGTAGTGACACACCCACAAAGAATTGTCCTCTGCAGCTCTATGGCTTTGCTTTTATGGCTCACAACTTTACTTTTTTGTCTCAGTCTTGGAAAATGTAACACTGGCCTTGATTGACATATGTCAGAACACAGTGCATCACAGCTGGCTGCATAGCCACAGGTTGTTCAGAGTGCCCATGCTCACCCCCCGTCCACCACAACATTAAAACTACCTGGTGGTTTTAGTGTTGTGGCTGATTGGTGTAACACTTGGCAGTTTAGGGAACACAAAACGTTTTTAGCAGCCTACATTACACAACCCACTGTTATATTTTATAATTAGCATCAGAATGTAGCCTACGTAACAGTAATGTAACTTATCAGGTACATTATAATTTGAGTTTCATATTTTCTTACATTATTAACTAAAGTTAATGACTTAGTTCCAACCTCCCCTTCTTCTGTAACTCCATCTTGTCTTTTACTTAGGTGCTGTTTCATTAGCGTCATGCTCCCCTGCCACTACAGATACATTTTGCATATTTGGCGCCAGACAGCCTTCTTTCTGATTGTAAAAGTGCTCCCAAACGTCAAACGACTCTGCTGTAGCCATGGTGACTACTATCCACCACTTCGGCCGTTTTTCAAACGTTTGATACACCTCACTGATGTAGACGCCAGTCGCTGCCCCAGTTGCCCCTCACAGCTACGTGAATAGACCGAACTAAACGATAATTACATTTGCTGCCAACCATTTTTATTATAGATTTTTTAAAATCAAATTTATCGATTAGTTGCTGCAGCCCTAGTGGAAATGCTGCTCCAAATGAATGATAATGTCGTTATGGGTTTGCTAACACATTTGCCATGTCAGCATCATTAGGCGATAAAGTGTTAATGTTGTCTACAGCTTGTTCTGCTGCCAGTCAGTGGCCAAAAAGCTATTAATACCGATTAAACACAGCATGTTGAAGCTAGTATTAATTGGGAAAACACATTATATTTGCATGAATCTGAATGCCCAGAAATCTTGTTGGGTTTTCCTTACATAGCACAATACACTGTACTGCTTGACACTTCTCAGCCTTCATGCATGTTCCACTGTGCGTGCATGTGTGTGTGATGTTTCTGGAGCAGTATTGCATTTGGACCGATGGGCTGTGTGCGCTGCTGGGCAGAGAGATGGGCAGTGACCTGACACGCAGTGACCTAGATACTCTCATCAGCATGGAGATGAAGCTCCGCCTCCTCGATCTTGAGAACATCACAATCCCAGAAGCCCCGCCCCCTGTGCCGAAGGAGCCTAGCTCATATAACTTCACCTACAACTATAGCTGAGATGTATGTGTGTGTGTTTGCAATGCATATGTGTGTTTGTCAAGGATGATGATGCACAACCTTTTGATGAATTTCGCTGCAGATGTGTGTACAAGGGAAGGCTGCTTTTTTTTTTTTGTACATTTCCTGGAGACTTCTCTCCATTCGTGTTCGTGGGGCTTCATGGTTCATCAAATAGGAGAAATGAGTTTATAGCTTCACTGGGAGGTCAGAGATCAGGGTCTATTACAGCGCAGTAGTCCTGGAGCTGGTAGACATTCAGTGATTGAATCTCGTTTGTCAGTGCAGTCTCCAGGCAACATCTCTATATGTGCTCCCTGTTCTAAAGGTACAAACTCTCCTGTAGAGTCAAAAAAGTTCTGTGCCTGATGGTGAATGCAGGTGAAAGGATGTACAGATTCTTTTCTTGAGTGTATTTTAGTCAAATTGGTTTTATTGATCAATCAAGCCATGCCTGTGGTCTCCATGGTAACAAAGAATGAAGCAGCTACGCTCCAGTTTACAGTAAAATCCTGTGTTTACTTTGATTTGACATGAGGGACAGTGAACCATCACAGTGAGGGGAGCACACTCACAAGCCTGAAATGTCAGCCCATGTCTTGCTCAAAGTCACTTCTATAGGAAAGATAGTTGATGCTGATAAAAGAACGTTCTCCCTAATCAATTCAACATCCTGTTCCCCTTTGCTGTCTCATTATTACTAAGCAGTTGAGCATTCACCATCTTAGAAATCAAACTGTGGTACTAGAAGTCAGTGTTAAAGAGGACTAAAACAGACTGCACATGTCAGGCAGGAGCTGGTAATGTACACGGATAAATCCCTGTTTCTCACGTCATGTCTGTCAAACAGGGACAGAACAATATACGGTTACTCCTAGTAATTATTTTCAATTAAAATATAGGTTCATGTGTTTATTTTCTATATTAATTGATTCATCTTTTGAATCACAGGGTAATCTAGTAGTCAAATTAATCAACAGAACACTGAAAAGCCACATTTCCTAGGGCCTAGTTTAACATATTTAAATTACCTGTGTTTTTTGACCAGTGTTCCAAAACTGAAAGACACTTAGTGTTCTGTTAATAAGAAAATAAAAATAAACAGTAGAAAGTCTTATGTGAGAAGTAGCAGCCAGTGAATTTTGGCATATTTACTTAAATGTGGGCTTTTTCAACATATTGGCCAGTTAACTGTTAAAATAAAGTGTTACCATATTCGAAAATATTACAATGACAAGCTACAGTGGTGTTTTCCTGTGATATGGGGGTTTGGTTTAAAGCAGACTTACAGCAGTATTTGACATCCCATGGTGTTTGAATGAATCGTCAGGTCTGAGCCCTGACTTCTGACTCTGTATCGCACTGTGCACAGCCAAAACAGGCCTCAAAGGGACAAAAGAGCAGCTCCATTGTTTTAGTTAACCTGCCAGAAGCGCTGCACTCAAATGAATTGAAGCAGCTAAAAAAATAGCTGAATGGGCACTGGGAGCATTTAGTACTGTTCATGTATCATATGAGCATACAGTATCGTGTGCTTTGTATACAGTGATATAAATTATAGTACTATTGCTTGATGGTTGATGTCATTTTCTGATTTCCGGTGTTATTGGTTCTAAACCTTTTGTGCATTTTAGTCAATGTCCTGTCAACTAATCTGCTACTAATTACTTCTGTCAGAAAAGATTATATTTTTGTAAATGACTGTAGAATCCTATCAACTGTGAAGAGAATGGGTATTGAACTAATGTTAACAGTTTCACTGTGCATCACTTTGTACAGTACATTGAACATGGTCATTACTGTGGAAGGTTGTTTCACGCTGAAAAAAGAAGTACATTTTTTAAAAGTATCAACCACATTTTCATACTACGAGCAGCTCGTGTCATTTAGGAACCACACTGACTCCAGCACCTAATGATGATGTCACTGTTATTGTAATAAAAATTGCCATTGCTGTTTATGCTGTTTGTGAAAAGCAATATGTGAGATTTTTTGTTTTCCAAATAATGCATTACTGTTCCATTTTTAGCTGATGTTGGAGGTTTTAACTGCTAAAAGGGGTTATTTATCTCCCAGTTGTCACTGAACACCTGCTGCTCTCAGAAAATCACAGCTGCAGCAAACAGACAATTAAATAAATAAATAAATAAATCTGTAACCACAAGATACCACAGCGAGTAAAGGGTTGTTGCACTGAATGTACTAACAGTATGACTTTTTGCATCTGTTACTCTTTTACATGGCTTGCTAAACTATTTATTTACGCTTGCTATTGATCGTAAAGAATGACATGTTGTTAGTTGAGAAGTAACAACAAATCTAAATATGGTTTACGTATAGATCATCGTATGTATATATAGTATTGTGTTGCCTTATTGAAGGAGGTGTATTATGTTTTGTGTGAATAAATACTAAGTCTAACTGTTGAAAGCTCATTTCTACTGGCAAATAATGTGCTTGTATGCACCTTAAAAAACTGAAGACTGAGGCTGTAAATGATTCAAGCACATACATTGAAAGTGTGAAGACTGAGTTCGTAAATCAGCATTTGTTCCTTATCTGAAAATAAAGTATTCAGACCATTTCCTAAGTAAAACACAATGTAAAAGTGCTTAATTACAAGTAAAACCTGTTCAGAATATTATTGATAGTATTAGCTGCCCAATATATCAAAGATAAAAGCAGTCATATGGCCCTTGTCATTGGTATATTTTACAGATCCATATGTCATGAAATGGATTATTAGACTGATTCCTTCTCATGCAGTGGTATAGTTGGCCATGGTAGTAATTTTAATATAGGCAGGAGGGACAATCGTAATTATAAGCGACAAACGTAATTATAAGCTCATCTTGTGTTTTGTAAAGCTTAATTTGTACTAACTTCAACTGTAAAATAATGCACAGGGTACAAAGTAACATAAAATGGAAATACTCCTGTAAAATACCTGGAAAAATGTATTTAAGTAAAGGAACACAGTCACTTTCTTCTGGTGAAAATACATATATGTAGTTATTCAGTGTTAGATCCGTATGCTGTAACTTATTGATCACAGGTTCCTCATGACCCTTGTGCTCCTTGTGATCACACACCGTGGCACTACACAATATAATGCTAAAGGATGCTAAAAATTACAATTTGCTTCACACTAGGAGAAGAACACATGCACTCATACCCAGTACATTTAAAGAACAGATTCACATTTTCCATGTCTTTCTTAATACAAAAACTACATGCCGTATATGCTCTTTCTGTCCATATTGGTTGTAAAGATAATCTTTACAAGCGGACAAATGGAGAGAAGAGAGGATTACAGTGACCAGTAACTCTTAGTGATAACAGTAAGGTCTAGACCTTTACTCTGTAAAGTGTCCTGAGATGACTTTTGTTGCGATTTGGTGCTATACAAATAAAATTTGATTTGATTTGATCTCACAAATGGGCATGTGAATACTGTATCAAGACAGCCATGAAAAAATTTCTGAAGCCTCTGCTCAGCTCCAGGTTTTGTCCAGCAGGGGACACACTGTGTCACATGTTTTCTGATTTAAGAAGGAGCTGTAGTTGCAATTAAAATGTAATTTGTTATGAGAGATCTTAGTTTAAGGTCTCTGATCTGTATGTTTGCACTACTGTGTATCCATTTGATCCACTGTTGAATCATTATTATATTTTCATTATAACCATCATTGTTTGTGGCAAGAAAAAAACAGTAGCTGTAAAATTGTGTAAATTAAAAAGATTTTATTGTATAATAGCTCAAAATAGAATTTAACACAATCACTTGTAGATCACTTTTATGCTGAAAGAGGATGTAGGGCGTTAGGCAGGGAATCTGAATGAATATACTGTTTATGTACTGCGAGACGGACAACCCAGTCCAAAGTACTGAAAGCTAAGCAAAAGGGCCGTATACAGCAATCACGTTGACTTACAGAGCCCACACAAGCAGGAATTTCATTCAGGGTCAGTGTTGTTTCTCCTGTGTTCGCCCTCGGTGAAGCAGGAGAATGATTGTCCAGTGTTATTTCCCTGGTTATGGTTTAGGCATTCTTTACAATATACAGTATCTTAACACATTAAGCAATGTCAATATATACTTTATACTGTATATAAAATAAATACAAATCTCTTTCTATGCCACTGCTCTGAACTATGATTCCTTTCTTCTAGTTGTGATTCACAAGGTGTATATTTGACATTTTTGTGTCTGTAGTTGTGAGTCACAGATTTTTTTTTTTAATCTCCCATTGAATGTGCACAATTATCTCAGCAGACCTGATGTAATAGCAGTTTTTCCTTCTGCTTTTGCTGTTTGCTGCTCCCTTCTGTCTTTTGATTGATGATCACAGCCTTGGGACTGTTGATTTCCCGGAGGAAGGTATTGTAGAGCTTTTCTGCCTCCTTGTCATGCTCGGAGTCCCCACCCTGAACTGCCAGCAGTAGAAATATGATTGCAAAGAGCAGGAGTGTAACTGCTGTGGAGGTCAGCTCTGGGCTTAGCTGCAGGCTGGGCTGAGGCTCTGAGGCATCCTTTGTCCTGAATGAAACACACTGAGGCTTTATGCTCTCTCTCCGTCTCCTGCTGACATGCTTGGTGCCCTCACTGATCCCTAAATGTAGACACACACGGTAAAATGTCTCTGCCTGCAGGTGGGTCAGGTTGAAACTCTGTGTGCCAGCCAGGATACGTGTGGTGTATGTAGGAGTGTGGAACTTTGAGTATATGGCATGCCAGGACAGGCGAGTCAAGGGGAGGTTGCGCCCACTCTGCCATGACAGGATAGCATAGTGTTCTCCGACCTCCCTCACCTCCAACCTGGCATCTGCTCTGAATAATGGAAATCCCTTCAGATTGGCACCCAAGCCCCTTTTTCTTTTTGTTTCTCTGCTATGCACACCCACAGTAACACTGCGTGTATCTGCTCCCAGCACATTTTCCGCTACACAGGTATACAATCCTGCCTCGCTATGGGTGACCTTGTTGATCTCCAGAGTTCCCTCAGGGAGTAACTGGTAAAGTTTGGAGGACTTACAGGGAATATCATCTTGAACCTGGCCGGGGGAGATGCTGGAGGTGGATGTGTAGTTGAATCTTTCAGAGGCTGTCAGACAGGGAGCAGGAGCTGCTGAGCCTTTGGATGCATGGCTCGGAGCAGGGCCAAGTCTCAGCCCAGAGGGAGTCACCCAATAAAGTTCAGGCTGTGGCTCTGCGAGAGCTCTACAATGCAACACAAGTTTTCCTCCTTCTTTTACTCCTACATAAGAGGGGAGGGAGCTGGTGGGGATCATGGGGAGGCAGGAGGCTGACATCTCCCTGGAGGACACCTCTCTCACCCTGCGAGCTCTCAACTCTGGGGGTTCAGAGCACAAGGTTGCCTGGGGTTGGATGAAACGCACCAGTCGAGCTGTTTGTGTGCCTTTCTCGTTGTGAGGGTGGGAGGCATCCTCGGCGGCCCAGTGAAACAGGCAGTCACATCGTAGCGGGTTGGAGTGTAAGCTGACCTCCTGAAGACTTGGCAGGGAGAGCATCACGTGCTGGTGCAGAGCACTCAGAGAGTTGGAGTTGAGCATTAGACTCTCAAGCTTGCTCAGCTGGAGGAAAGCCTGTGGATGAATGTAGGAAAGGCGTGGGTTATTGGTGATCTCCAGTTTGGTGAGTTCTGGAAGGTTCTCCAGGGCAGCCTTTTCAATGGACACCAGCTCCTCCATGTTGTTCAGCCCGAGCTCCTTCAAGTGAATCATGCCTTGGAAGTCTCCTGTCTCGATCAGTTTGATGCGGTTCTTGTTGAGGTCGAGGAACTTCAGTCCTTGGACTCTCTTTAGGGCCTGTGTGGGGACCTTGGTTAGCAGGTTATCATAGAAAGAGAGGCTCTCAAGGCCATCCAACCCTTCAAGGGCTTTTTCAGCCAGGCCTCTCAGACCCATACCACCAAGGACAAGACTCCGGAGGGATTTTAGAGCCAAGAAGGCTTGCTCAGGAAGGGCCTCCACAGGGTTTCCCCCAAGCATGAGAACTTCCAAACGGGGCAAAGCCCTGAACCACCGAGGATCAACAGTGGTGAGTCTGTTGTTGTTAATATGAAGCCGTAGTAGGAAGTCCAGACCAGTGAAGGCTCCAGGTGCTATTGAGTGTAAGTTGTTGTGACTGAGAAAGAGTTCTTGCAAAGCTGGCATCGAAGAGAAGGAGGCCTCAGGGAGGTGGCTCAGACGGTTTTCCTCCAGGTGCAGAGACAGCAGAGAGGGCAGAGATGAGCTCTGAGTTATTGTCCAGACACGGCTAAAGCGATTCTGGGAAAGGTCAAGGTCAGTGAGGTTGGGAAGTCCATGCAACACCGCAGTGTCAAGCTCAGACAGGAGGTTACTCTGCAGGCGCAGGGTGTGTGTGTTTGGTGGTATGGGTAAGAGGAGCTTGGTCAACAGCAGGTCGTTGCAGTCTACAGTGGGAGCCTCATGGTAGACCGAATCGGGGGAGAACCATGGTTTGATCTGACACACACACCGCACCGGGCAGGAGACGTGCCATGGTAGAGCGTGAGGTAATGAGCCCAAAACACCAAGCACGCACACACTAACGAACACACACAGGAGACACTGTGACTGTAGAAGCACTAAAGTCGGCCTCATAATCCTCATAGGTCACAGGAGCTGTTTCAGACAATGTGAGAAAGAGTTTGTTATGAGGATGTGAGATGAATCATTTGGACCAGGGATATGTGTGAAGTCGTGTTATTAACAGTTTAAAGGTGTGTGTGTGCAAACTGCGAAAGGTAGGCCAGATGGTTCAGTCATTCATAAAGTAAGTAAAGATGGATTATACCTCTGACAGTATTCTCCGGAGGCTTCAGACTGAAATAAAAAAACTGAACTGTGTATCCTCCCTTTGTAGCTGAGCTTGGTTCTACTAAATCAGGAGTGTTTTATGTGTAGTTTTGATTGCAGCTGCAGAACACAAACTGCAAAATGGCTGTAGCTTGACGACGGCCTTTGTTATCACGCCATCAATCTCACATTCTCGCCACAGGTGGAGGACTCATGGCTCGTGGTGTGGTGGGTCACTGCTCTGTCAGAAAAAGAAGAGAAGAAAGAAATTTTTAGAGATTTAGGGAGAAAAAGAAATTCAAACTGAATAAAGACTAAAATCAGCTGCTTAATACAAAACCAAGTGTATCACTCAAATACAGACACATTTTTAAAGCATTACACCTGATCTATTCCCAAAGTCTGTGAATATATATCACAGTACTTTTGGGTTTTACAATCAATGCTTTAGCAAGGTCACATGAAGTCCTCAAGGATGTATGATGCAGGCCCATAAAATCAAAAAATCCTCTGCAGCTGAGGATGGATGAGAGATAGTAATGGGCTGAAAAAATTCAAGCAGACTATTCTCCAAAAGAGATTTAGTCTTACATAGCAGCACACTGAAACATGGGGAGAGGAATGCGGAGCTAATGAAGACAATCATGCAAAATGTGAGAAAAAGAAAGACAATATGGGAAGATGAAGCAAAGAGGAGCTCAGTGCTCTGCTGAATTCTCTAATGTTACTCTCAGCCTCGCAGAATGGAGGAGTGATGAAATCATGTAGCATATAAAAATTTCATGTCAGTATTTCACATTCACTGACTGTTAGAGCCCAGTGTCCTACAAATGACATTTAGTATATGACGGTTAAAAAGACCCCTGAGATTTGAATATTATCAGACTTCTGTACTTAAGGCAGTAATGGGAAATACTGCCTCAGTGTTGTTGTTGCTGCTGCTGGTCAGAAACATGCACACACGTAGTTGTACTTCTATCTTTGTGAGGACACTCATTGACATGGAAGCATTCCCTAGCCCCTTATCCTAATACCTAACACTAAACCTAATTCTAGTCTGAAAAAGGTGTTTGCATCAAAAAGGTGTTTTCACAAAGTGAGGGCTTGACCAAAATGTCCTCACTTTGCAAAAATGTCCTCACTCTGTACCAAAAAAAAAAAAAAAAAAGGCCATATACAGCAACAGGTACAAGAACACATACACACGCAACACACATCAGAGTTACATCAGTATTTACATTTACAGCATTTGGCAGACTTAACAACTTACTGCTCAGCATTCATGGTACAAGATCGCCGGATTAACTGATTTGGCAGCATTGAGATCATCTCAGTAATTAGCTGGCCAACAGTGTAAAAACAGCCCACAGGGAGAAAGGTCATGTGCCAAATTGTTCTTAACAACAAATTTATGATTCAGATTATTCTTTATAGGATAAAGTAAGGTTGAAAATACAGGCCAAAGTGTGTTGTGGGCTAGTATTTGTATATTAGGTTATCACAGTAACGTTTAGCTTGATGAAACCTATATTCAATGATTTTTGGCCACTTGTGGGTAATACGTCAAGTTGCTATGGCAAACAGTGAATTATTTGCACATTAAGCAGACATGGAGCCACATTAGCATTCAGTTAGAAATGTGTTTGTATCCAACTGACAAATGGAATTCCAATATTCATTCTTCGTTTAGCTCTATTTTGCTCCTTGGTAGCTCCCGAGGGAAATATCTGGCTCTTAAGCTGCTAAATGCTCCATGTTCACCAGCTAGTCACTAACTTCAGCTGTCTGCAGTCTGGCGATCATCAAATGATTGTGAAAACATGTTCTGTCAATAGAGAAATTAGACGATCCAAGTGTCTTTTTTGATGCTACTACTGCAATGGAGGGGTTTTACTTAACAAACAGCAGCCAGTTGTTGGTTGCATCTGTACTCTCTGACAAACTTCAATTTGATGACAAACTATACATCGTTTTCAAGGGGAAAGTCGATCATTCTGTCTGAGTAAACTGTTTAATATCAACGATTTCATCCACAGAGGTTTACAAATTGCTGCACACACTGTCACTCTACCAGCCACACACCTATGGCAGCAAGTTACTTTGTATGGCAACTGCCAAAGTGTCCTTAAGTGTCCTCTAAAAATGTTAGCAAGTACAAAATGTTGACTACAAAAATTTACTGTAACGCATGAGAAACACACATGTCGAGAAGTCATGCAAGGCTTACTGCATAGTTGCCATGGAAACAAATGTCCCACTCGTCTTGAGATCTGCTGTGATACAATCTGTGTATCATTTGATAAGAGCATGGAAAAACCAACATTGACTTGACTGACGAAATATTATGACAACATTTCTGAAGCTGCAAAATTGTATTTCCTCCTTCTGTGATCTTCACGAGTTCTACAAATCACTTTATTGGTGTGATGAAGTTCTGGATGATTATAGATAAAGTTATCATTAAATGAAGTTTTAATCTTTCCTGACATGTGCAGAGTCTTTCCATCCTGCCAGCTGGTGTGATAAAACTCTACATCTGTTGCTGAGGTCTGCAGCCTGCACGACTAACAGGAAGTGCTGCACAACGCTGCAGGCTTTAAAGTGTGTAGAGATGCCTGCCAAGTCTTTTCCAATAACAAGGAGAAAGTACTGACATATTCAATTTAGCACATTTATTGAGAGGGAGAGAAAGGCTATTAGCATTCAAACACCATGTAGTTTAATTGTACAAGTGTAGGTGTAACAGCGACTGCTTTGTGTGAGAATATGTTTGAGTGCAGTACGTTATCCAAGTCAGTTAAATTTTTGAACTGGAACAGTAAAAACACAAGAGCAGTTCTTACCTCCTGGGGCTCTTCACACTCTTCTATCGGCCATTGACTTTCATCTCCACTCTCAGCTATTCATATGCAACCTGCTTAATAATGGATTCGTCATTTCATTTTGCTGTCCTCCAATGTTGTCATTTGCTTTCAAAAGTGTTTTTGGCTGTTTCAGAAAAGCAAAACAATGTGTTGATATGTATATACAAAGAATCTGTGCCGCCTCATTATTTGAACTATTCAGATAAGGAGTGTATAACAGATCTGTGAATAAATAAAACTGAAATTTTGTTTGGAATTATACTGAAGTAAAAAAAATGTTTTATCATTTTGTGAAAAAAGGGGGGCTTTTGATTCTAGTTTCCATAAATTTTCATACTACTCACAGCAACAATTGAGTGATGAAATCAATCAGTAATCAATCAGTCAACAGGAAATTTGGCTGGAACTATTCTGATAACCAAATGAGCAAAACTGCCAAATGTTTAATAGTTTCAGCTTCTGATGTCTGGGTTTGATGGTTTTCTTTGTCACTGCTGGTTTGACAAAACAAAACACTTGAATGTCACCTTGAACTTGGGGTAATTACAATAGCCATTCTAAATCATTTTCTGACATTTTATTGACAAAACACTGATTCAGTTAACTGAGAACATAGTCATCAAATTAAAAATGATTGTTTAGTGCAGCCCTAATTCAGGCTAATCAGCCACTCTGTGTGTTGTATGTGCACTGATTTAACCTCACATTACTTTACTTTACGCTGACAGTTACTCTATTTTACAGATACTCTCAAATTTAAGCTCAAGTGCCACACACACACACACACACTTCATGTGGCATATAGTGCTAAAACTACAGCATGTACTGTTACTACATTTATTAGAGTTGCCTTCTACAAAATCTGTTGAGCACACAACAAAATGCAGCTTCAAACTGTATTGAAGTGCTGATTCACATATGCATTATTGTGGAATTAAAAAATGTAAATGTGCCAAACGTCTCATGCTACTCAGCATATCGAACATCTTTTTTTCTTGCTAGACTTCCATTTCCTTCCTGAACATAAAACATGCAGTGGAATTTTCTGGATCAATAACTCATCTATCCACAATAGTGATGGGCCAGTTTTTCTTTTTCCTTTTAACTGTGTTTAACATAATTCTCTCACACATATATTATAAATGGATCTGCTTCCCTCTCACACACTCATAATGAGGCTTCGGTGCATACATTGTAGACCTGTGCACTTTCACACATGCTGCTTGCTGGAAAGCAAATCTGTTCTTTAACATGTTAAACTAAAGATAGTTTTTACTTTCTAAAAACACTAGATATAATAAGGACAACTAGGTGTGGGACAATAAAATGGATAGTGGTATTTCACTAGCGGGAAGTCGAACAGAACAGTCACATTCATGATTTTGCAAATGTGCTTCTCCTTCACTTCCATATGACTTTGCTTTTTCCAGTCCAACAGAAAGAGAGCCAGAGAGAGGCTTTTAAGAGCTATGTTTCTAAATGGATACAGGGAGGAATGGAGTACAAATGCATGTTTACATGAAATGGATCATTGCATAAGGTTTGTTTGTGCTGTACAGCTACGACACAGGGAGACACTGCAACAGGGCAGACTAGAGAGAGGGAGGATTTAGAGAGCAGGAGAGAAGGATGTATGACAGAGATAGAGATGCTGGATGCAGATACCGAAGAAGAAAAACAGAGCTGCATTGCCCTGCAGCTGAATCTGTTCCAGTATGCACACAGACTTATGATTTATTTCCCCCCTCTGCCAAGAGAGACCCCCAAGCTTGTCCATTTCTAATACACACACCTGCTACCATTACATTTGAATCAATACTGCTTTCACTTTTTCATTGCTGTGCTTGCATGCATTCATAGCTGCATGAGTGCACATGTCTGTGAGAGTGCTGCAATGTCCTGTTTGGTTAAAAAAAATCCTAGCAACATATTTCAGGTTTCTTACCGCAACAGAAGCGCCAGCTACACCTCTCTGTGTTGTTTCTTGCCTGGTTCATTTGCTGCCAGTCTTACGAATGCTTCAGGTGCTGTGGTGCTTTCTCTTCTTCACCCTCTCAATCACGGAAGATTCCTGAAATATCACTTCCCTAGCTCTCCCTCTCTCTGTCACTGGAGCTGAAGAGAAAATTGGCACAGACTGAGTCTCTCCCTCTCTCACTCTCGCTCCCTCCAGCTAAAGAGGAGATGAGGTGTGTTCTGCAGCAGAGCTTCTTTCCCTCTCGTCTCTCTCCTCCTCTCTTTCTAATTCCTGCCTCACTATCTCATTTTTTCTCTTTTCCTCTGTCACAAGCATTAATTATAGTGTGTTATCTGTGTGGATGAGAAGTTTGCTTTGGCTCCTGGTGGCATTCGAGTTTTCTGCCATCGTTTTCAGTTTAAATAGCTGCTTATAATCTTAGCTCCTTAAAGGTTACAAAACAGCAGGAGAGAACCTGTAATGCAATATTTATACATTGTTGACTGAAATTCAACTAGAATGTAAAATTTGTCTTAGAGCTGAAGCTGTGTTTCATTGCTTTATTAAACAAACCTGTTGCATTTTATTTCTGTTCATTTCGGTGTTAGTCTCTATTACAAGAATTTTCCAGTTCAAATTACAGAACTTAACTGTAGATATCAGCTTTGCACTGTGCAAACACACGGTAGTTAAATTCAAGTTTCAGTAAAGTTTTAAAGAGCCTGATTTCACCAGTGCTAAAAGAGAAAGTAAAAGAGTCATTATACTGTGGATACTGCTGGAGTGTGAATGGACTTTTAGTTGTTTATGACATTTCTCACTGTTTTCTGATTCTGAATATCCAGTTTTAAAGCCAGAACAGCTCTTTTAACAGCTTCTGAATAATGTCAGATTGACAGGTGGTGACTACGGTTGGTAGTTCATGTATGAAAGAAGAACAATTTAGTCCATTCTGGGTGCACACAGTGAAAGGCTCTCAGACTTACTGCAGCATGCAGAGTATATATTTTCTGCAACATCCCCATAGCTCTATAAAGAATGAAATGTCTTTACTTGGGCTCGATATTGAAAATGGAGAAGGCAGTATAGAGTCTGACAGTTGTGGAGGCAGCAATAGAGCAGTAACATGATAAACAGCACACAGACATTGTAAGTAATTCCCCATGGGATTTACCTCATGCGCTCCACACTTTGTAGAAATGGTGTAAAGCAGGTGGAGACTGACATGGAGGTTTACGTTAATAGCACCTTCAGTTACAGCATGTGAGTGTTGAGAGTAAATGTGACTTCAACACATAAATAGTACTGTCAATTGAATGCAGTGAAATGATGATGGCTGAGGTATGCAGTGCACACAACATGACTGAAGTGTGTTTCACATGAGCCCCTAAATCCGTCTATAGTGGGGCTAATGGTTTGCAACCTGACCTGATACACCAGGTCCCAATACAGAATCATAGTCTGAGTCAGTCATTTTTAAGGTTGTGATCAAAAGTATTTTTATGCCTCCACGCTGAAAATAGCCTGAGCCCAAGGCATTATGTTTTTGGGTTGACCGACCATATGGCTGTCTGATTTTTGTGAATGCGATATGTCAGAAACACCTTGAGGTAATTTCTTCACATTTGGCCCAAATATCTAATTGGACTCAAGGATGAACTGATTTGATTGTGGTGGTCAAAGTCAAGATCAGTGATTTCACATTTGTCTCATTCTTGTCAGCCCTTGACTAAACCAAGTTGTATTTGTGCCTAGACCTAACTAAGCCTCAACAATAGTGTTATAGTGTGATGTCCGGGTTCCAAGATGGCAGCCTGAAAGGACGCACATTGCTGAGCTCCTGCACCAAAGCTTCTATTTTGCTCGGGAAACTGTCGCTATACATTTAACGGTCAACAAATAGACTCGACTCGGTGCCTATTAGACCAATACACATCCAATGATGTCCCGCGAGAGGAAAAGGAACTCCAAAGAGTTAATAACAGCACCGCAAACTAACCCTCTGATAGCATGTCATGACTATGTTAGCTTACCTGCTACCACTCTGTCTGTAGCGATGGCGACCGAAGACTTTCCACCACTTCCCTCGTCTACGGCAACTACTCCTAGTAAGTCTCCTATTTCCAAAAAAGCACTTTTTGACTCCGACAACAAGGACAAAACGGTAGACGCGACCAAAGAAATCATTGGAACTCTGTCACAACTAATCAATACGCGTTCGGAGGAAATCAAAGCGATGGTGAATGAAAACTCAATGAAGATTGAAGGCCTGAAAAAGTCAGTGGACTTCGCCTTTCAAGAGATACAAGACATCAAAGGACGAATGAACAAAGTTGAAGATTGCCACAAAAAAGATCAGTCTCTGTTATCAGAGATTCAAAAAAGAGTCGAAGAAAATGAAAGATACTCCAGAAGGTGGAACCTGAAGCTGCATGGTGTCCCTGAAACTGTGTCCAAGGAAAAGATCAAAGATGAAACTATCAAAATTTGTCAAGCAATTTTACCAGAAAAGAAAAGCAGCTTACCTGATGTAATTGACACTGCACATCGTGTTGGGAAAAAGCCAGAGAATAGCTCCAAACCAAGAGGAATTATTCTTCAGTTCACCTCGAGATCAACCAGGGATGCCGTGTGGAAAGCTGCTAAAAACCACCCTTTTCTTCAGGAGCATCATCTTCGCCTCGCCGAGGACCTGTCTCCCGCTGATCGAGAGCGCAGAGCGGCGTTGTGGCCTGCTATCCAGAAAGCGAGGAACGAAGGAAAGATCGCCTACTACTTCGGGGCTCGTGCTTTTGTGGATGGAAAAGAGATTGTAATCGACCAGAGCACTCGAGAAATGTTAAAAAATTAGGCATAATCCCCACTGTTATCTGCTAACACAAAGGGGCTGAAAACAGGCACACGTTCTGCAGTTGGTATGTTCAAAATGTGACCGATCCTAGTCTTGTTTGCTTCTCTCCTACCAAATGCACTTTATCTTTTGGTGCTGAGCCAGCTACTACATCTCTACCAATCTCTTATTTGGTGTATTATTCCACTTTTCTACCAGTTTAAAATTGTCTCTTTGTATAGGTTCTTTAAATGCCAGGGGGTTGAAAAACAACATAAAACGTAAGGCAATTTTTCTATTTGCTAAACAATTGCGTTCAGATTTCTTTTTCTTTCAGGAAACTCATTCCAGTGTAAATGAGCAAAATTTTTGGAAAACTCAATGGGGTGAGGAAGGTTGGTTTTCACATTGTTCCAGCCACTCAGCTGGTACGCTCACTTTTAAGAATCACTTTGGAGGAGACATACTTTTGTCAAAATGCGACCCAGAAGGTCACTATGTCTGTAATGTTATTCTTTATCTCAATGTTACCATATTCATAATCAACATTTATGGGTATAACAGAAAATCTGAGAATGACCAACTATTAGATTCTATAGAAGATATTTTAAATGACTGGACATCTAAATTTCCCAAGGCAAGCATTATAATTGGAGGAGATTTTAACATGGTACAAAATAGCCAACTGGATAGATGGCCACCTGGAAACTCTTCTATCAACAATGCTTTTAAATCCTTTATGGATAAATTTAATCTCTCTGATATTTGGAGAAAGAAGTTTCCTAAAGATACCCTTTATACTTGGTCTAACAATGATGGTTCAAGACAATCTCGTTTAGATTATTGGCTAGTGTCCGATGATGTTAGTTCAGAATATATCTCTGTTACAGTATTACCAACACCATTAACAGATCACAAAGCAATCAGCATTTCACTCAATCTTTTACCGTCATCAAACCCTTATAACAGAAAATCTTATTGGACTCTAAATAATGCTCTACTTAAATATGAAACAGTTAAAGTCACAATCTCTAAATTGATTTCACATTTCTTACGCAAAGCTAATGTTGAAAACTGTTACTGTAAAAGTTGGGAACTGTTCAAGTTTGAGGCCGCCTGCTATTTGAGATCGTTTGGCAAATCTTTAGCTAAAGCTAAAAGATTAGAAGAAGAGACTTTAATAAAAAACATTTTATCTCTTCTAAGTAAATATCCTGCCACTTATACAGACGATGATAAAATTAATTTGTCTCTAATGCAACTTAAATTAGATGAGATTTATAAATCTAAAGCAGAAGGTGCTTTTGTAAGGTCAAGATTAAAATGGCTTGAGGAGGGAGAAAGTAACACAGCATACTTTTTTAGGTTAGAAAAGCACCGCTCTAAATTAAACAGTATTCATCATCTTGAAATTAACGGCAATATAACAGATGACCCAAAAACAATTTCTCACTTCTGCCAGTCTTTTTATAGTAAATTATATACCTCTAACTATTCTGAGCAAGCTACTCACCAGTTTCTTGACTCCTTAACAGGGACTACAAACATCTCAGACTCTGGAAAAGAGCTATGTGATAGAGAATTAAGTTTAAATGAAGTTACCTATTCGATTGATCACCTCAAATCCAATAAAAGTCCAGGTGCAGATGGATTAACTGGAGAATTTTACAAACTATTTTCCACTGAGATTGCTCCCTTCTTACACAAAGTTTACTTAGAGTGCATCAAGAATGGCTCTCTTATCCCGACTATGTGTCAAGGAATATTAACTTTAATCCCCAAGGCAAAAAAAGATCCCCTCAATTTAGAAAACTGGCGTCCCATATGTCTTCTTAATAATGATTATAAAATTCTGGCTTCTATATTAGCTAAAAGAATTAAAGCTGTCCTAGACTCCGTTATTAGTGAAACTCAGTCAGGATTTATGCAGAACAGACATATATCTAACAATATTCGATTAGTATTAGACACCTTAGACTACTCTTATCTAATTAAAGATGAAAGCTTTATTCTCTTCCTCGACTTTTACAAGGCCTTTGATTCTCTCAACCACAACTTTATATTTTGCTGTCTTGAAAAATTCGGCTTTGGTCCTTTTTTTTGCAATGCAATTAAAACATTATACAACAATGCTAATTGCTCGATTAAATTAAAATATGGAACTACGCCTAGGTTTGACTTAAAAAGGGGAATCAGACAAGGTTGTCCCATATCTCCTTACCTTTTTATACTGGCTACTCAACTCCTTGCTGACCATCTAAAATCCAACAATCTCAAAGGAATTACAGTTGAAGACAGAGAGATTATAATAAGTCAACTGGCTGATGACACTACCTTATTCTTGAAGGACAGTTCCCAAATCTCTAAGGCCATTAATCTAATTAAAACTTTCTCGGAAGCATCTGGTC